TTTTTATATTTTTCGTTGGTGATTTTCCTCTTTAAAGTCACCCCAAACATTGTGTTGAAGTGCATTCTAGTGTTCCTAAGAGCAGGGCTTATATTATACAGAAAATCAGTGTGTTAGATAAGCTTCATTCAGCCATGAGTCACAGTGCTGTTGGCTCTGAGCTCAACATTAATAAATCAACAATGTACATTGAATAGGGTATCTTTAAACAGAAACACACATAATACAAGATTATGTATTGATTAGTTGGCAAAAGTGTGACCACAGCCTCTCAGGAGAGTGACCTTGTATTTCTCTAAGAGCAATGGCTCAGTATTCCCTAATTCAGTGTCTATAATGACTGTGTAGGACAAAACTTCCATGAATATGAATAATGAGAATTGATGGCAAATACACACACATATATATATCCACATGCAAAAAAAATGAAGTTGAGTTCCTACCTTATATCATATACAGAAATTAACTCAAAATGCATAAAAACCTAAACGGGAGAGCTAAAACTATAAAACTTGGAATAAACCTTAGGTGAAAATCTTCATGACATTGGATTTGGCAGTGATTTTTTCTATATAGCACCAAAAGCGCAGGTAACAAAATGAAAGATAATTGTGCTGCATCAAAAATTTAAAACTGCATCAAAGGACACAATGAAAAGGGTGAAAAGACAATGCATGGATTGGGAGAAAATATTTGCACGTCATTTGTATTTGATAGGGGTTAGCCCCCTGGTGGCTCAGTCGGTAAAGAATCCATCTGCAATTCAGGAGACCTGGGTTCTATCCCTGAGTCGAGAAGATCCCCTGGAGAAAAAAATGGCAACACACTCTGCTATCCTTGCCTGGGAACCCCCCAGGACAGAGGAGCCTAGTGGGCTATAGTCCATGGGGTCGCAAGAGTTGGGCACAACTGAAGCGACTCAGCATGCAATCCTATGATTCAGCAATTCTACTTCTTGGCACAGACCTAAAGAAGTGGAAGTAGGATCCTAAAGAGATATCTGAACACACATGATTATATCAGCATTACATACAGTAGCCGAAGAAGGCCACCCAAGTGTCCCTCAACAAACGAGTGGATGAAACGTGGCATATACATACAGTGAACTGTTATTCAGCTTTAGGAAGAAAAGTCTGATGCATGCTGCAACATGAATAACTTAAGGACATTATGCTAAGTGAAATAATCCATCCCAAAAAGATAAATATTGTACAATTCTACTTACATGAGGTACCTAGAGTAGGTCAAAATCAGAGAGACAAAAGATGGAATGATAGTTTCCAGGGACTGAGGGGAGGGGAAAATGGGGCATTATTGTTTAATAGGTACAGTTTCAGTTTTGAAAAATAAGTTCTAGAGATGGTGGTGAGTCAGTACAATGTGAATGTAATTAGTACTACTTAACTGTACACTCAAAAATAGTTAACAGGGCAAATTTTATGTCACAGGTATTTTGCCACAATTAAAAAACACATAGCTTACTATAGAGGAATTTATAATACATTCTTTTTAAAAAATCTTTATTGGAGCAGAGTTGATTCACACTGTTGTTTTACTTTCTGCTATATAGCAAAGTGAGTCAGATATATATATATATCTCCACTTTTTAAAAGATTCATTTCCAGTATAGGTCATTAGAGAGTATTGATACATTCTTATTCTATTGTTTTAACCAATACAGCTGCTCAGTCAGTTTCAATGGCATATAACTGATAAGAGTATGGAAAGGAAATTTTTAAAAAATCTATAAAATCTAATGTTTTATACAAATGTTTTCCAGAGGCCAGTAAAATTACTTTAAAGGGAAAAACTTATGTTTGAAAGAAATGATACATTTCTTTTTAAGAAGAAATGACACTTGCTTACCTCACTTCTAACACACTGGGTTCTAAGAATAAGGTTCAGTGTTTTAGGAAAGCTTTGGTGTTTGAGAGAAACATTTCTGCCACAGTCTGCCATTTATAGAGAATTTTAAGGAAGGTAATACATTACTTTCAAAACACACACATAAAATATTCACACACACATTAAGAGCAGCTGTGAAGTTCTTGGAGCTGAAGAGATAAAACAGAAATGTCCTAACGCTTATTTTACAGTTCATGCCTATGTGACCTCAATTTGCATTTGCAAATGACTTGTTTTTGGAAAAAAAAGTTTGTGTGCTCAACTATTTATTCTGCATATTTCAATTCGTACCGGACACGCACAGTAGTCAGTGCATGGTACGTGACTGTCACTCGGCAGCTGATATCTGCAAGTCTTATCTGTTAGATGAATGTCCCTTTGGTCCACTGGTTTCTCCTCTGCTCAGTCATGAAACTCTGGTAACAGTGAAGGGCTGACCTCTGTGGACTGAGTTAAGAGCAGCATGGCATATGGAATGCTTTCTTATCTTCGGTGATTGCAGGTGAAATGCCTCTGGGAAGATGTTTTCTCAGGTTACAGACTATGCTTTAGTAGTTGGTGGAATGATCTAAGGTGTGGGAGAAAAGAGCCAGTCAGGGCCGCTATGACTGTATTTGTGTTAATGTATTACTTCACAGCTTCAGTATGAGGCCCTGGAGGCACGTTTTCAGGAATGCACAGCGGAGTGGAAGGAACCCGGGCTTTGATGACAGACAGGTCAGGGTTTGAATCTGACTCCTTTAAAGACGCTGTGACCTTAGTTCAGTGTGAGCTTAATTAACCTCACTGGGCTTCCCTGGTAGCTCAGATGGTTAAAAAAAAAAAAAAAAAAAGTCTGCTTCCAGTGTGTGAGACACGGGTTCTATCCCTGGGTCAGGAAGATCCCCTGAAGATGACTACCCACTCTAGTATTCTTGCCTGGGAAATCCCATGGACAGAGGAGCCCGGTGGATTATAGTCCACGAGGTCGCAAAGCGTCGGACACGACTGAGCAGCTAACACACATACATAAACACTGATCTTTTTGGGCTCTTTAAGCTGCAAATAACAAGACCTGTATGTGAAAGATTATGGTGTGGTAAGACAATATATGAAAGGAACATGATATATGAAAGATGCTAATGAGGTATGAGGAGAGATACTATATGAAAAGCAAGTCAACTGTTTGGCATGTAGTATGTGCTCAATAATCGATGGCTGATATTGCCATTTAATTAGGTTCCTATTGCATTTGAGAAGGGTCTCTAGGAAAGGTAAGATGTTCTTTGAGAGTTCAAAAAAGACTCCTCACCCTTGAGGGATGAGAGAATCATGAAGGGAACTTCAGCTCTTCACTTCCTACAGCAGTGATCCCCCAAATAGTGATTTTGATTCCCAGATTTTTTAAAACATTATCTCCATAAATGTTAATTGAATAAACATTTTCTGCTGTTTGATTTTTGGCTTTGCTGGGTCTCCGCTGTTGCTTGGGCTTCTCTCTAGTTGCGGCAAGTAGGGGCTGCCCTTTGTTGCAGTGTGTGAGCTTCCGGCTGCGCTGGCTTCTCTTATCGCTGAGCATGGGCTCCGGGCAGGGCTTCAGGAGTTGCAGCAAGTAGACTCAGTAGGTGCGGCTTCTGGGCTCTGGAGCACGGGCTTAATATCTGTGGAACCCAGGCTTAGCGGTTCTGCAGTATGTGGGATCTTCCCGGATCAGGGATCAAACCCATGTCTCCTGCATTGGCAGACGGACGCTTCACCTGAGCTACCAGGGAAGCCCTGATTTAGAGCTTTTAATTACAATCTGATAGTTTCAGAAGGATACCAAAAATAAGATGGAAAACTTGAGAGACTACACTCTCTGACACTAGGTTCATCTCAAAGATGAAACACAAATTTCTGGAGAGCAGATTCAAGGCAGTTGGTATCATTATTATTTTTTATTCACAACTTTCCTATGTTGAGTAAAATATACCCTGTTAATTGAACAGGCTTGAGTTCCCAGGGAAGACTCAGAATGAATTACTCATGTTTTTGCTACTAGAGTTGCATAGAGATGTAAACTTACTGCTTTACATGAAATCTGCTAGAGAGATTTAAAATTTATCAGTCCTCTTAGCTTTGCTGCTTTTAAGACCACAAAAAAATGACCTGTCTCAGAGAAACTTGCATATTACAGTTCAGTTTTTAGACATGGCAGGAGCTCATTCACAGTGGAATTTATTTCACATTACATTTGGGGCATGCATGAGATTTAAAAGCAATGCTTTTTCTCTAAAGTACTCACTACAAAAGATATATCACACATACTCAGGCTATTTAAAACTCAGCAAGGGGAATATCAACAGATTTTTCTCCAAGAATGCTCTCTGATCAACCAGGGAAATAAAATCTTTCTTATGAAAAGCAAGGAATTGAAACAATTCCGGTGTATTAAAGCCTAGGGGTACCTATCCTGTTTGGTTGGAATTTTTGGCAGCTTCAGATATAGAGGTAGTATTTATATGGGTGTATGTGTATTGAATGCTATTTTTGCCTTTATGAATGGTTTTCTCACTTAGACACCTTCAGTGTTTTTAGGAATATTTATGTTCCCTGATAGTTCAGCTGGTAAAGAATCTGCCTGCAATGCAGGAGACCCCAGTTCGATTCCTGTGTTGGGAAGATACCCTGGAGAAGGGATAGGCTACCCACTCCAGAATTCTTAGACTTCCCTCGTGACTCAGACAGTAAAGACTCTCCCTGCAATGCGGGAGATCTAGGTGCAGAAGATCACCTGGAGGAGGGCATGGCAACCCACTCCAGTATTCTTGCCTGGAGAATCCCCATGGGCAGAGGAGCTTGGTGGGTTACAGTTCATAGGGTCCCAAAGAGCAGGAGATGACTGAGTGACTAAGCACATGAAATAACAAAATAGCTTTAGTGCTTTTTTTTTTTTTAGCTTGAGTTACTTACGCATCAATCAATAATCCCTCAATCGTAAGTAACTGAAATCAAACTAGTGCTATTTTTCTATATAGAAATCTATAGGCTCTTCAATTGGGACATTCCAGGGATGACTAGCTTCAGATATGGTATGATCTGATTTAAAATTATCATAAAAAATGCCTTTTTTCCAGGGAATCCTTGAGCACTGTTGATGGAACTGTTGATGGAACTGCTGCAGCCACTATGGAACACAGTATGGCAGTTCCTCAAAAGATGAAAAATAGAAAGAACTACCTTATGCAAGTCATTCCAGGGTATGCATCCAAAGAAAATGAAAACAGGATACCAAAAGATATCTGCACTCCCACGCTCACTGCAGCAGCATTCACAACAGCTAAGGTATGGAAACAACCTGAGTGTCTGTCAATGGATGAGTAGATAAAGATGTGGAATATATAAATATATATGTCACACAGTGGAATATGATTCAGCCAGGAGGCAAGAAGGAAATCTTGATATTTGTAACAACATAGGTGGGCCTCGAATGCATCATGCCAAGTGAAATAAGCCAGATAGAAAAAGACAAATCCTACATGGGATCACTTATATGTAGAATCTGAAAAAGATTAAAACAGTCAAATTCATAGAAACAGTAGAAAAGTGGTTGCCAGGGGCTGGGGTGAGGGTGCAATAAGGAGAGGTTGGTAAAAGGAGGGAACAGACTTTCAGCTATAAGAGAAATAAAACATGTTGAAAAAGGTAAATATGTAAATGTGTGTGGTGGTGAGTGTGATAATTAACTAGATGGGAGCAATGCTTTCATGATGCATACTTTAAATAGCTTACGATTTTTTGTGACAATTAAACCTCCGTAAAGTTGAACAAATACTTTTTCCCCTTCCACTCTTAATACATACATATATGTGTATGTATCTTATTGGTTTTGTTTCTCAGAATAGTCAGGAGTAAAGGGAAAAGAGCATTGTTTATTTTCCCGTATTTGTTTTTATATATATTGAGAGAGAGAAGAGAGATTTGTTATATTCCCCAGGAAACATTTGTAGTGTTTCCTACTTTCCAAATGCCATGTTGTTTCACTCTTCCTTTCTTTGCCTGAATCCAGTTCACTTTTGTGATTTTTTTCTACTGAGGGGCTCAGTCACAGAAAACTGCCTTGTTATAAAATCTTTTCTTAACTTGGCCTTCAGCATTATTTTTCCTCTTTGGGATAAATAAAATAAAATGGTAATAAATGAATAAAAATATTATCTGAAGGCTGTCAATAATAAAACCTGAAAAAGTAGACTGATTGGTTTCTTTAATTCAGTTTCTGAGCTGTAAAATAGGTCTAAACCAGCCATTGAATTGGCTACCAAGATATAACTTCTACCTCTAGATCTATAACACTCTAGTTCTGTAGCACTAATTCAGTCTCCTGTATTATTACTATAACATCTTCTCTTATTCAGGAGCACTTTCCCAATTATAGAGCAATGTGTGTTTTTTTTTTAGCACCAGTGTTTATGTGGTAGGTTTCCAAGAAAAAATTTTAAAAATTGCTCTAATTGGTACATTTTTAAAATGGAGATATGGTAAGTAGGCCCTTATGATAACAATTGTGAATAGCTTTTTATAATTTTTAGAAATCTAAGTATAATTTTCCAAACACAGGATTTTTTATTTTTTTACTTCTCAAAAATTTGAAACATTAGAGAGGGCTTGTGTCTACTGGCACAAGGTCTTTAAATACACCAATTCATTTAAACATCCATTACCCTTCTCTGGAGACAAAAGTGATTCTCAGAACATCTGAAGACCTTTCCCTTAATCGCAGATCAAGTTAACTGGGATTCAAACTCAGGTCTTTCCAGACTAAAAGCACCTGCTCTTTTTAGGAATAACAGTCCCATGTTCTACTATCATACACAGAAAAGACTTAATTTGCCTTTGAAGTTAATACTTCTGAATACTCATATTAAAAATTCTGACATAAAGTACAAAACATGTTGAGTGTTTAGAACATGGAGTTACTAAGTTCTGAGCAAGTCATTTAACCTTTTCTGAATTTCAGTCTATTATAAAAGGTAAAAAAATATATATATAAAGCTTGCTTCACTAATTTGTGAAGATTAAATGAGATAAGTAAAGTTAATTTCTTTGTTTCATTCCCTGTGGGAGTTTGGATGAATGGCACTCTGGTACCATAGAAACCACTGCTGAGACATACCATCTCCATATATTACAAATTAGAATTCCTCCTGAGAACAGAAAGAAGTACTTTAGGATGTAAACATTTACCAGTTGGAAGGTTAAAGATCATTTTTCATATTCTCATGGGCAAATTATTGTAATCACATGAATATACATACTGGCATAGGATCCCTGAATGGAATGTTTTTTAGTAAATAAGTAGAAGTGGATAATTAGGAGCCTGGGTTCCTGGTTGGGATGGGGATGACTGATTTCCTTGGGACTAACGTCTGGGTGTTTTGTGTTGTTGAACGTGAAGGAGGGAAGAGAACACAGAAAGAGGTTTTCATGGAGGAAGATGAACACGGCCAGATCAGAGCTCTGCCTACATTGCATTTGTGTAGGGCTTGCGGGGGCACTGGTCCCCTCAGAGCTGTGCCTGCTGCCCTTAACCCCCCTATCTGCACAGCCGTGACCTCCTGGTTTTAACAGCAGTGGAAGGGACACACGGCTGCTTTCTGTCAATCATGTCCTCTGTGCAAACTGGTCTAGGGGCCTGCTGTCCAGCCTCTTCACTTCAAGTCAGTGTTTGCTGTCTCCTCTCCTTTCCCCTTGTAGGATATTTGGTCCTGCCCCAAATACCTCTCAGATGCTTAGTTCATGCCAATAGGTCTTTGATGTATGGTCCTATCCAAAGTGCCCAGAAGACATTTGATCCATTTACCTGATAAATTTGTTGCTGTTTAGTCACTCAGTCATGTCCAATTCTGCAACCCCATGGACTGCAGCATGCCAGACTTCCCTGTCCTGCACTATCTTCTGGAGCTTGCTCAAACTCATGTTCATTGAGTCAGTGATGTTATTCAATCATCTCATCCTCTGTCATCCCATTCTCCTCCTGCCTTCAATCTTTCCCAGCATCGGGGTCTTTTCCAATGAGTCACTGGAATGAGTCATTCCAATGAGTCTTCGAATCAGATGGCCAAAGTATTGGAGCTTTGGCATCAGTCCTTGCAGTGACTATTCAGGGTTAATTTCCTTTAGGATTGACAGGTTTGATCTCCTTGCTGACCAAGGGACTCTCAAGAGTCTTCTCTAGCACTAATGCTCACCCTTCTTTATGGTCCAGCTCTCACATCTGTAGATGACTACTGGAAAAATCATAGCTTTGCCTGATAAATAGTGGTACCCCAAACCTCATTTCTCACACACTATTTTAATAGTGGTTATTTTGGCCAAAGCATTCTCATGAAGGAAACCAGACTCAATGTGATTAGAACATTTGTTTTGACCTGTCCCTAGGACCATAGTGGTTACACCTGGAGGAGATCTCTGGTTCCTGTTTTACAGGAAAGGAAACTCTTGACCATGGAATGAAGTGAACGGTTCTGGACAGATTGGGGCCACAGTCCAGACCTGCTGGTCATTCCCATATGATGCTGCTTTGGTGGTGCTTCAGAACCAATAACCTCTCTCTCATGAAAAGGGCCAGACTGGATGTGCTGAAATTTTATTTCAGTTTCCATTTGGCAAGAATTGTGAAGGTCTTAACTGAAACAGTACTATTAAACAAGGCTCCATCTCTTTCCATCCGTCAAATCTGAAGCTATTTCATTAGGGCTACTACTGAACTTACTCAGGAAACCTAATCAGCAATAAAGAACCTGACTGATCAGTGGAATATGAATTTTACTGCTGTGTGGAGACATGGTTTTATGGTGCCATCAGGGAAAATCAGGTCTAATTGGGAAATGAGTGACTTACAGCCCTCCTTGCATCATTCCTGCTGTCCATGCAGGCGCCACGCCAGAGACTGCTTCCTCTTAGACTCAATCTGATTTTTAAACTTTTCCTGGATTTCTTGTTTCTTTTAGATCCTACATCCGACATAAATCTAATGCGTCTAGCATATTTTTTGGCTCCTTAACAGTTCCTGAGAAATCCTGTTCTTTTTTTTTTTTTTTTGGCTGAAGGTTGTGAACAGACCAAAATGGGGTGGGGAGAGACATTTAGACCATGTACAGACTGTAATTCAGATTGTTAGGCTGGTCCATACATGCAGAAGGAAGAAAGCCATCCATCAATACTTCAACACTAAACATGTAATCCTATTTCAATTATATGAATTTTTTTTAATCCAGAGGAAATCTGGCTCATAGATGAGGACTTCCAACTTTCCCTGTCCTGAGAGAAGTTGTTGATGAAGGCTCCACTGGAGTACACAGGATATTGCTGCTGCAGCCGTGAAAGGAGCCAGAGGAAACTGACCAGAGAACAGATCCATTTCCGGCACTCTGTCCTCTGTGCTCACATCAGAGTAGGTCTCCTATCAAAGTGGATGTGCTCCCAAGCAGGGCAGCATTATCAAAATGTCCCTTTCCTCTGGCACGCTACATCTTCAGATGGCTTCTTCTGTGCCTCATCCAAGTCCAGTCCCTCTCACACCAGTGGGTCAGAAAATTAGGCTCATTTCTTTTGGAACCGGTTGTTTCCCACTGCGTAGACATATGCTACATGATATTGCATTTTACAGTTTGTTTTACATCAAGACATTTCTATGCCCTGATTCATATGTTTTGTGTTGGAAAAGTATGATGGCTGCATTATGTTGATGGAAATCATTGCTAAGAGGCACAAAACCCGATTTCAAATTTTGGACAACAAATCTATCTAATTAACCTTGGTGGATGCAAAAATCTTTGGGTGAAACAGAAATGTTTTCCTCTGGTGTGGAGCAGCTGAACATGTTTTTAAATGAAGTGGGAACAAAAGAGAGACTTCCAAGTGCATCCGGAAAAGAAGCAGATTTGTTTTACACGATCAGACTCACTCCAAGGAGAACCTCTGAGAACAGACTTGGTCATCCCCAGAGATTTTGAAGTTACTGGCAGCAGTCAGGTGGAAAACAGGACATCTTATTTGGGAAATGCACTTAAATATCTTCTAATGTAATAAACAGGCAGGGACATTTCTCCCAATCTGACATGTACCATTGGAAACTGCAAAGGGAACCCCTGCAAAATGCAGATGATGGGAGTCAAATCCAAATGAAATACCAAGTCTGGGAAACCGAAGTCAAGTGCCGAAATGTTTAGTCAATGGAAAGTGCACATGCAGGCCCTTCATGAGGTTAGAACTGACAATTATAATTAGAGCTAAATGGAGATAAACCAAATGCTTTCTAAGAACTTTGCTATCATGTGATTTAAATATTTTTTTAAGTTTTTTAATACTACAGTATAAAAAGCAACAATAAAGGCAATAAAAGAACAGTTTCCTCCCTCTGTAGAATCATACCAGATTTAAAGCAAAAAAAGGTACTATCAAATTAAACTTCAAAACAAAGCAACTAGGACTGAGAAATACCATCCTGGATAGACATGCGTGTTCAGCCGTGTCTGACTCTCTGCGACTCCATGGGAAGGATACTGGAGTGAGTTGCCATTTCCTCCTGCAGGGGATCTTTCTGACCCAGAGATCTTGTGTCTCCTGTATTGGCAGGTGGATTCTTTACCCGTGAGCCACCTGGGAAGCCCTAGGAAATAGAATTTTTAAGCTAGACATTCGTAGTATGAAACTAATTGAAAAACAAAGTTGTCTGGTGTTGAAAAGCTCTTTCAGGGGTTGGAGGAACTTAACTCCAGTTTCCACTCTACTAAAGAAGTTATTCTGTGATCTTCATTATATCACTTAATCTTTTCAAGTCCAAGTTTCCCTATCTACAAAATTAGGGTATTAAGACCCAGTGCCATTTGGCACTAGTATTTTCCAGATTTTTGAGATGTTATATCGAACAAATATTGGTTCAAATTTAGAAATCTGATAGAAGAACTTTTTATGAGAATGGGGTAGGAAAGTTGCCCTAAATTATTCAGAAATCTGACTTCATATTTATTACACATCATTTTGAAGGATAAATTAAAAACTCATGAAGAGAAAGAAATTATTAGAAATTATTTAACTAATTTAATTTACATTAATTATGAATTCATTTGTTGTATGCTGGTATAAATGAACCACCAGCAGAACAAGTACCCTACATTTTATGAATATTAACTGATGGGAATATTTCTTCAAACAGACTAAAGAAGAATCAAAAGACCATTCAAAACTATGTGTATACAGCTGTCTTTCTGCAGTCTCTCTATCTTAGTACACAACCAAGGACTTATGGTGAGGAAAGTGTCCTCAAAGATACCTAAATTTAGGGCAAATTTTTACCCCAGAGATGGAGGAAACAAAAAGCAAGACTTTTTTTTAGCACAATAGAAATGTCCTAATTATTAGCTTCTCTGACAGTGATAGTATTTATGTCACTTCAAACCCTTGACTTTCATATGTGCTTGATTCATACATACTAAAAACATTGATACTAAATGATTTTCCACCTGAGGCTTTTCGTTTTCCTCTTCAGTGAACTGGTCTGTAAAAAAACGTGGGAGCTGTTTTGCTAGCCTTTGCTTCTGCCTTTAACTAAGCAAATAAAGTTTAACATTGGGTGTGTCCTTACACAGTTTTATCAAGCATGTGAAACACTTCCTGGTACAGGTTTCTGACCAGGAGAAGTACTTTTTTCTTTTTTTAAATTCTGATCCCCCCCTCCCCGCCCCCATTTGAAGGGAGATCATAGGTGTGTGCTGGACTTTCTCTACTGCCAGTGGGGCAACTTCTCTGATTGGTGAGTTTGGAGAAATCTAGAATTTTCTCTTAAAAGGAAGCCTGGCTACAGAAAGTATACATTTAACTCTGTTCCTTCAAACTTCCAGTGTTCTGAAGGCTGCCTGTACCTGGATGAATAAGTTTTTAAAACTGGAATTCAATGATCGGAAGCCCACTTTCCTCCTAAGTCATATCCTTCAGCTTAAACTTTGTCCACAATAAAGGTAAAAATTTGGTCCCCACCTACCTTAATCTTTTGTTTCTTAGTTGGCTAGGAAGACAGTATATTTTTAAAAATTGGATCCTCTTAATGATTCCTTAAAGTATCTACATACTCCTTTGTGAAAAATTGGAAAATAGGAAAGATGAAAAAGTCTTATTAGATACTCAATTGTTTAATCTTTATGGCCATGCTGTGAATACAGACTAATCCTCCAAATGAATTATTAAATGACATGCTTTTATTGTCCTGGTATAGTACAATTTGGCATATAGGAACTATGGAATCAGCCAGACTTGAGTTTTAAATACTGATACTATAACTCAACAGCTGTACAGTATTGGAGATTTCTCTTAATCTGAACTTCGATTTTTTTCAACAGTAAAATGAGAATAATACTAATCAGTCCATAATTAAATGGATATATATGAGGAGATCAATAAATGTTAGTCCAAACTTCTCTCATATATACTCCTTTTCATCAAAGAAATTGTACAAAATTTAATTATGAACTGTATGGTCATATTTTGGCAAACATTTTCTAAGGGAAGCATTCTCGAGGATGAGATGTGACAAATGTAAAAACAGGAAAATATTTACATGAAGGGTATATTACAGAAAATAGAAGTTTGTCTAATTGAAAGAGTTATTCTTTTTGTAAAATTTGCAAACAGCAAAAATAAAAGTCATCTCCAAACTTAATTCTTGCAGAACAAAGTTGATTGGAATAATGCTTTCAAGTGTACAGTTCTTTGATGTTCAGAGACTTCTTACCATTAAAGAGTGTCCTTTCTCCTTTCTGTAACCAGTCTTGTTCATTAGAACATCTTGAATGATTTGAGTTCCCCTGAAAGGACTGCTGAGATGATCTGGAACAATCCCCTCAAGTCTTTAGTCCCTCTACCCTTAGAAGAGCTAGTTAGTTTCCTATGGTAAACTTAATCCCTTCTGTTCACCTAAATTCAGAGATGCTCAACTTTGCTGTTCATCTGAAACTTCTATGAATATTTTTTCAAAATACATACCACCAGAGATTCTGATTCAGACATTCTGGGATGGGCTATAAGTATGGATATTTTTTAAAAAGTCTCTACAGACAAGTTTGAGAAATAAAGGTTCTTTATTTCACCACTGCTGCAAGTTTTTCAGTTTATGTTGGATGGATTCAAGGCAGTCCAGGGGAATCCCACAGTGATCATCAAGCAGTATCCTGAATTCTTGGCGGAACCCAGAACTAATCTTATTTGACACATTTCTATAGGGTATATGCCAAGATTCACTGCCATTTCTGCAAATTAGGGGGTGTGCCAGGCTAGACTTTTCCTATGTGGTATCCGAGAGACTAATCCAGAACTAATTTTTTTCCCCTGGTTTGTTAAAATATTGTAGTTTTATGTGATTCACTTATTTGATTCCATCAGTCACGACTGCTTTTCTTTCTTTTTTTTTTTTTTTCCTAAAACTTCTCAGCAAAATGTTGAATGGAACTCAAGAATGCCATTAATATTCCTTGACCACTCACCAATAATACTGTGTTCTTTCAGTTACAGACAGAATTTAGTAAAGAATACGCCTGCAATGCAGGAGACGCGGGTTCAATCCCTCTGGAAAATCTCCTGGAGGAGGAAATGGCAACCCACTCCAGTATTGTTGCCTGGGAAATCCCATGGATGGAGAAAGTTGGCAGGCTACAGTTCATGGGGTTGCAAAAGAGTCAGATGCGACCTAGTGACTACATAAATTCCCACCTGGTTTACTTTACATGTGGATAAAATCTGGTTGGAGGTGGTGGAGGCTTATTCAAAGTCTCTCCAGATTTGACTTATATCTCCAGGATTTAGACCTACAAGGAATTCACCAGGATGGGGAAACAAGTAAAGAGACAGGACATTTGGTGAGCTCACAAGATGGACCTGATGTTGCCGGGCAGTCTGGATTGAGGGACAATGAGGAGAGTTCACTTTTCAAGGTAGGATGTGGTCGCTCCATCTCGCTGCTGAACACAGACACCCTTCGAGGTGGCGGTTCTTCAGGGAGGTATGATTAACTGAGCAAGATCGTTCTCTGCTGTGGTTTTGGAAGAACAACTGGGTATGATCACTGTGTTTAAAGAGCACATTTGTTTGGTCTAAATACCAGTGTCTGTCCATAACTACACCCACAGTTTAGATTAGTAATTCATTTCATTTCTGATTTAAATGCATTCTCTGACTCTTAGAGAGAACTATGTCCGGGGAGGAGAAAATTACCAGGGCATCCACCCTCCCCCAAAGCCTTCCGGCAACAGAAGACTTTTACTTGCTTAGCATATGACTTTAGAGAACCACCCCCCCTCGCCCCCAGCTTGAAAATACTAATTTTTTCATTAAAGTGCCAGAAAATTCAAACCAAGAGTTTTAAGCCGTGGTTTTCACATACTATTAAAAGCTCTATAATAAGCAACTTTTGGAATCAGGATGAAAGCTAATTATAGAAGTTCTTTGACATGGCTGTTTCTATTTACATCTTCAAAACCACAGAAGCAAATATTGTAGACTTTCCTAACATATCAGCATCTTCTTGTCCTTAAGTTTCTGACTTCTTTGAAGCTGCTCTTAAATCTTCCCCTTGAAATCCCATTGTGGTTGACTATTTCCAGTTGAAGGACGATTTCAGTTTATAGTTTGTAGTTCAAGTGAAATATTCTTTCCCTATAATACTGAATCTCAAGATCAGACAAAGCCATTGTACCTACAGTACATGTTATCCAGGCTGTTTCATGTGTGTTTAATCTTTCTGGGATCGTTTGCTTCATCAGTAGCAGCAAAATACAGGAGATATATTCAATAACATAAAATATCTGTTATGGTATGATCTTTGCCACTAGGAAAATGCAAAGGTAACAATGGGTTGATTTTTAAGAAAAAGAAAATTTTGAAAGTGAAAGTAAATGTCCAGAGCAAAAAAATCTCAAGATAATGTGAAGTCCAGCTGAATTGGATGCTTTTGTTCTGGTCTTAGGAGGCTCTGTAGCCAGCTTACTTGGTGGCACATGACTCGGTTGGCTTGGAGAGTCGACTGATTATGAAAATCTTTCTCTCCAGTGCCCAGCCCCACAGACACACCCAACTGACCTTGAATTCATCAGTACCCACCTACGCCATGATTCTCAGTCTTGCTTGCACATTAGAATCACCTAGGGAGCTCTTAACACTCCCTGTACCAAGTAATTAAATCAGACCAATTAGATTACCATCTCTGGGGGGCGTGGTCCTGTCATAAGCACCTTTAAAAATTTCCCAGGTGATTATAGTGGGCAGCCAAGATTGTAAAACCACAACTCTTTGTCTAGAGAGCATCCATCCACGAGACTCTGATTCCTTTGGCATTTCTATTTTTTCATTTTACCGAAAATGGGGTAATAGACTGCCTAGAACTCTGAGCAAGTGTTCCATTTAAAAAAAAAAATTCTGACTTGGACAAACAGACTTATAGAAAATGAACAAAAGACAAAACAAAATGTCTACCAAAGGTTTGTAATTTCATAAATCTTGATTTTGTAATTGTACATTTTTCTAAAGGCAAAAATTTTATGTACCAATTATATGGCAATAATGATAAAGAATTTAATTCTCAATTCCTTTGGGATTGTAGGAAAAAAGATATTTCTAAAAAAGTTTTTAATTGATTAGAGTTGATTTACAGTGTTGTGTTAGTTTTTGGTATACAGCGAAGTTATTCTGTTACATATATATTCTTTTTCATATTCTTTTCATTATTAAAGGATATTGAATATTGTTCCTTGTGCTATAAAGTAGCGCCTTGGTTTTTATCTATTTTTGTATATAATAGTTTATATCTGCTAATCCCAAACTCCTAATTTATCTTCCCATCCCCTTTTCCTGTTTGGTAACCATAAGTTTGTTTTCTGTGTGAGTCTGTTTCTGTTTTGTAAACAAGTTTATTCGTATCATATTTTAGATTGCACATATAAGTGATATCATATGATATCTTCTCACTTCACTTATTTCACACAAGCAAAAATTTCTTTTCCTGATCCTTTTAAAAACACATGCAAATATCTATTCTAGTGTCTGGCTTACTAGATACGCCAAAATGTTACCATATAGGTAGTTATGTGATTATCTGCTAGGAACTCTTCTTTTCCTAGGAAATACTTCCATGTGCTAAACTGGGAGACTCCATGTTCTTCCAGGATCCAAACTGGCCAATTAAAATTCTTTTTCCTCTTCATAATTAATTGGTATATGAATGGATATGTGATCCAAATCAAGCCAATTAGAAATCCTTTCTGGATTTTCTGTTTGCTTGGATTTTGGGGTGTGTGTGTGTGTATTTTACTGAAACTGAATAATCCAGTCCCCTTTTAGTTTGGGAAGCTCTGACACACAGAGTTTAGGAGATGTTGATGATCATGAGGCCAAGTCTCTATAAGAAAATAAGCTACTGTCATGTGAAAGAGACTAAAGCAGAAGAAAGATGTAAGGGATGTTCTGGCCTAATTTTATCTTGTCCCTTCTTCTAACTTTTAATAAATGTATTCTTTGGATTCCATGAGCCAGTGAGGTATTTCAATTTGCATCCTTAACTCTAAATTCACAAAAACTTTTTCTAGCTTTTGCTGTTCTTATGTATAGTCATAAAGTTATGAGAATCAAAAACCCTAACATATGAACAGAATCTAATGAAACCCAATAGATACAAAGTATTCTTCAGCAGTGACTTGATTTCTGTTTTCTTCTTTTCCCAGCCCACAGAAGAAGGAAAGCAGAAGGGAAGGAGTTTTCAAAGATGTGCAGGACAACAGAAGCCAGAAATAAGAGCTCCAGTCTGATCAGGAGAGGTACAAACAGAAAAAGCAGCTCAAGCGATCCTTGCTCACTTCTGAAGCCATCACTGGGTCCCCAGAACTGGGAAAATGTGAGAATACCTGGTACATTTCTCCAAAGTTGGTCAGACATGCTAGAGACTATAGAACTACACCTCCCCAAAATAAAGAGGATGAGGAGAATATATTACGAGTAACTAATAAGACTTTGCTCAGGATAGAGAAAAGCCAAGGTGTTTACATGACAAGAAATGAAAGTATTTGAAGGCTCAAATTAAACTCCTTCCATGTAGCAGAGTCAGGGATCTCTTTCGGTACAGGGCCAGATAGTAAATATTTTCAACTTTGTGGACCACATGAAGTCTTAGTCACATATTTTTCTTTTGTGTGTGTTGTTTTTTTTTGCCACACTTTGAAAATGTAGAAAACATCCTTAGCTCACGTGATGTACAAAAGCAAGTCTTGGCCCACAGACCAGTCTGCTGACTTTGAGCAATGACGTACTGTAGGAGATGACAGTCAGGTGCTTTTACAAAATTACATAAATTTACATAAATTAATGGGACAGGTGTATATGTCTGCATTTGAAGTCATCTCAAAACTACACTCCCTGTCATTTTAAATAAATGCATTCATTGGGGATGATTCATGTAAATGTGCTTCTACTTATAAACTGGATTCTTCACCAACCAAAGTGGTAAATGTTGAAAGTAGGACTCATATACACATATGAGGGAAAAGTAAAAGCATATCACAAAATAAGAGCTGGTATTTATTGTGAAGTTACTGTGTGCCAGGCAGTGTATGTGTAGTTGCTCTGAATTTTCTTCTCCCAAAATTCATATGCTGAAGCCCTAAACCCTCCTATGACTGTTTTTGGAGCAGGGCCACTAAGGAGTCCTGTATTTTTTTTATTTTTATTTTTTTTAGGAGTCCTGTATTTTTATAAGTAGATCTTTACTGACTAGCAATATTTAGAGAGTGTTAGTTGCTCAGTCGTGTCCAGCTCTTTGCGAGCCCATGGACTGTAGTCTGACAGGCTTTTCTGTCCATGGAATTCTCAAGGCAAGAATAGTGGAGTGGGTAGCCATTCTAGGGATTCACTATTCTAGGGATCGAACTCAGGTCTCTTGCATTGTAGGCAGATACTTTATTGTCTGGTCCACCAGGGAAGTAATTAAGTTTACAATGGGTGCACAAGAATGGAGCTCTAGTTCATTAAGACTGGGGTCCTTCTAAGAAGAGGAAGGTACCCCAGGAGTGTATGTACACAAAGAATAGGCCGGATGAGATTGCAACAGGAAGGCTGCTGTCTGCAAGCCAGGAAGAAAGTCCTCCCTGGAAACCAACTATGCTAACACATTATCCTTGGATTTCCAGCCTCCAGAATTGTAAGAAAATAAGTGTCTGTTGTTTAGCTACGTGGTCTGCAGTATTTTATTGGGGCTGCCTAAGCAGATGAATACAGCATTATTTAAAGTAAGTTAAATCCTAAGATATCCTTGAAGGAAGGTGTTATTGTTATCCTTACAGAGAAAACCTAGAGGCAGAGACAGATTAAGTAACACACCCAGTCTTGTCTAGCTAGTCAGTGGCAGGGTTGGGATTTGAACCCAAGCAACATAATCCAGGGCTTAGGTTCTTTCAACCAAAGTGAGCCAGCTACACTGAGGCTTTTCTGTGTTTTATATTAAGGATGGCTTCTCACTTAAAGAAACAAAACCCAGAGGAATAGCTAGCTAATGCAGAACAGTGGTCCTTAAAGTACTCTAGCACATGACCACCTGAGGACTTCTCTAAATCTTAATCATACAAATTTCACTGCTTCCAAAAGGAGCAAAACAAAGTGGAGATCAAATAGCCTATTGCTTGGTGGAATGGTTTTTGGAGTCTTCCCAAAGGTAGAAATACAAAGCAGATTTTATTTTTCTCCTTATACGTAATATATATGCACTTGTAATGTATACCATGGCAACTTTGGTATACATTTTTATATAAACCATTTTTTTTTCAAAATGTGATGTATACTAAAGATTGATTTTCCAAAATAAACTGGTCTTCCAGATTTTTATAGCTGTGAAGGGGATAAAGCAGACATATCCATGCAAGCCAACCTTTATTTTGGCAGTCCTTCCTTACACTCCTCTCTCCTCTGTTGCTCCTGATCTCTGAACTTAGAATCCAGCTTTGGCTAATCCTCAGCAGTGGTACATTAGAGAAATGCTCAGACTTCTAGATTAATTCTGAGCTGAATTAAAGTCTAACTGATTACACAGTTGAAGATCATTGCAGTGGTGGGAAAACCATGGCTAACATGGGCAGGAAGTATCATGATAGGATTCCCATACTGTCAACACTTGGACTTACCTGGCCTGCAGTTGAATAATCAAACATGTAGCCTCCATGGTCTCATCTGAATATTCTGAATGAAAAATGCCAAAGCAGACTGCCTCAGGAGTGTGTGCAATGATTCCACATACTAAACCAGCCCTCTTTGGAGCAGTAATAGATAAAATGACATTCATTTCACTGAGTCCCCGAGAGCCTGAAATTTTCGTCATACAGAAATGGCTTTCTGAAATGTCTAAGTAGGCATTTTTTATTACTTTTCTATAAAACATGCCCTGAATACTGATGATAAATATCCATTTGGATTGTAGTAGAAACAAAGCCTGAAATGTAAATATTAGGCTTTATCATCTATTAGAAAAGGAGACATTTTTTGAGAAACCTTAATTACATAAGCCTGACTGACTAACTCAGTACAAAAATAATTATATTATTTTTCTTTCATTCTTTTCTTATAAGATTGATATTCAAAAGTGTTAAATCTGTGATGGGAGTCCTTTGTTTGATGCTAAAAAGAAATGAAGCTGTGTGACTCGTGTATGTGTGTAAAGACAATTGTAGCTTGTGTTATTGATAGTATCAACAATAACAGCCAATATTTTTTCATTCAATGACCAATCCTTAAGTTCCAAAAACGTGTGGAGCTATTTAGCTAGCTACTTATCACAGACCAGTAAATAAAGCAAAGAATTCTGCCCGTGGGGAGCTTACATTCTACAGATGGGAAATAAAAATGAGCAGTGAGCACGACAAATAAGGAAATCCTATTGTGTAAGAAGTTTTGGAGGAAGATTCTAAACAATTGAAAATGGCCCATCCCGGGGCTTGGTGTTTTGAGAAAATATAAAGTGGTCAGTCTGATGCTGAAGTGCAGTGAGCAGGGGAAGTAGCAGGAAATGAAGCAGATGAGATGGAGGAGGTGGCAGGCAAGATTAGGTTGCACATTGAAGGATGAGTTTCAGCATAGGATTTGATTTATGGTGTGATGGAAGGAAGCTATTAAAGGGTGCTCAGTGAGGAGGGATGTAATGTAACTCACATTTTAACTGGATCACTCTGACTCGTTTGTGAGGAAGACCTTAAAGGGGCAATGAAGTGAGAAGGAGTGCCTTTAGGGGGCTTTGGGGGGGTCTGGGGGACTGGAGGAGAGGTGGTGGAGATGTGGTCAATTTTGAGTATAGTTTGGAGAGAAGCCAACAGGGTTTTCTAATATGTGAGGAGTAAAAGGAAGAAATACTACTCAGCCCTTAAAAAAAAGAAGAAATCTTGCCATTTGCAACCAAGAGGACAAACCTTCAGAGTCACAGTGATCATTTTGTAAAATGTGTAAAAATATTGAATCACTACGTAGTAACTTGAAACTTACATACTATTGTAGGTCAATTAATAAATAAAAAAGGGAAAAAGATGAATTTATCTATAATAAAATCACCTTCTCTTTGGCATAGGGAAGGGACATGGAGAGGAGAAATGTAGTAGGTCTTCTCACCCGTGTTAATTATGACCACAAGCCCAGGGAACTGCACACCCAAAGAAGCATTTGGGCAGCATTTTAGTTTTATGCTATTTTTTAGTTCATAAAGAAATAGACCGAAAAGACAGGGTGAGTGGTAGCATTCAGTATTGCTTTTTCAAGGATAATAAAGCTTTGCCCCCCCACTCCCAAAAAATGTGTTGGTGGATGTGGAACTGGAGCTTTTTTCAGGCTGCGAGCCCATATTCTGTCAACGATGACATTGTCCTAAATTATATTGACTTAAACACATGACGCCTTAGGAGAATGGAAAATAGACTTTTGCATTAGCTTAGCAGGGGAGTGACACAAATGAACCTAGAAAGACCAGTTGGAAAATTTGCAACTATAAGACATAGAGTTTTAATGCCATGGATGCTAGATCACTGGAGGGTTTTAAACAGGAGACTAGCATAGAGAGATGTGCTTTCAAACAATCCCTCTACTAAAATGACAGATTACATTTTATACCGATGCTTTTCTTTCTCAACTTTCTTGTAAGTGATCTCCTATTTACTAGATGATGAGCGGCAGCCAATTGCCTGCCAGAGGAGAGTTGCATCACTATACCAGAAATGTACAGAGAAAAGAAGTAAGTATTGGTGTTTTGTTTTATCCAAAAGTTTCTTGAAGCTCACCTGGCCTCTCATCAATACTTTTGAAAGACAAAACAAGTTCCTTTGCAAAAGATGCAGTTATGGAAAGAAGATAAGCTTCTTGAGAATCAACAGCAGGACCTTAATAAAGAAAGAACTAAAGTTTATTTAAACACTTTAAACTGGGACAAGAGCAGGCGCACACAGTGAGGGTCACTTCCGATAAGATGAGGCATCCTGGGAGAGGAGACTTAGATGCATTGCTATGTTGGAGGAGGGCAGGCCCAAAAGTTGCCGTTTGCACTAGCTGTCTGGGCTTTTTCTTTTAGTAGGTTAACACACTCAGAGGCCCTTGGATGAAGGGTGTGAAGACCTTGAGGAATTAGTGGCAGCGAAGGCAGTGAGCCTTCCCCCAGCTCTGGCACCTCAACTGTGGGTGAGTCAGGACCTCAGTGTGAAGCCAGCATCACTTCCTTCTGCAGCCGCTGGGCTCCCTTTCGGCTGCGGGGCTGAAGAGGAGGAAGACAGAAGTAAGCCATACTGGGGAGTCTGGTGAAGAGTCTGGGTGATGAAGGCTCAAACTGAGGCTTTGGAGAGGCCTATGTTTCAGGTTTGTAGTTTACCAATTTCGTCAATTTTATCTTGAAGATTTTAGAACTTAGGCTGTTTTCCCCTACTATCCATGTAATACAAAATAGCTTTTTCATTGGCATGGGAATTAAAAAGAAAATTAGTCTAAGCAAAACATAATTAGAAAGATAAACATACTTCCTTCTTAAGCATATGATATATACAAAAGCCTAATAGAAAGTAGCCTGCCTTCTCTGCAATTCAGTATTATCTGTATCGCAGCTACCCATTCCCACCCCTCCCTCTGAGACCCATTACAGAAGATGATAATGAGTTGACTAGATACAGCGAAGTCAAATTAAGCAGTGATAGAACCAGCAAGAGTTACATGAATTCTTTCCTTCCCACTCAGCAGATGATTCTCTCATAGGCTCTTCTGAAAGCTGGTGGTTGGACCAGTTTTGGAAATTAATTAGTCAATTAATTGCTGTGAACCTAGGCAAGAGTGCAGCCTAAAAAGGGATCACCAGTAGCCTTCTCTCATCTTTTCCCTCTAACTTTCCCTCCTGGGAGTCTGGCCGAGCATAAAGATGCCTGGCATTCTGATTCAAGGTTTTATGTCTGAGATCTTCCGAAGGACCCAGTGCTGGCACTAATGGAACACCTCATATTGGATGGAGGGTCTGCAGAGCTTCATTAAAGAACATCAGCATACTATTTCTGATCATCTGACAGCATTCTGGGTGCACTCACAATAATTGGCCCGTGTCAAACATTGTTCTCTTTCCACTTGTGTAAGTATGCAGAGATTTCTCTTGGATATCTTCTTTTCTAGTGTAAAAGTTGGAAAAAGCATGAGCAAAATTCCCATCTAAGCTTTTCTTAATTTTAGTTCTTTTAAAAAAAAAGAATAATTTTAAGCATATTTAAGCCAATGTAAATTACATTTTTCCCTAAGCACATTTACATACCAAGCTATTCTGTAGACCATCAAGAAAAATGACACAGTCTACATTTAAAATTATTTTCTAGGATTGGGAATGACTGCAAGTTGGCCCCACCCTTATTCTCTGCCAAATCCTGCTGGTTGCAAAGCTCTCATTTTTGTAAGTCTGTGAGTTGAGAAAATGGGGGATGTTGCTGAAGACTTGAGAATAGAGAATTTCAGTTATGTTAGCATAACGTTTTGTGATAATTTTTTGTCCAGTTGAACCTAATAGCTTCATCAGCAGTGCAACATGTATAGTTTTTGTTCACTTAATAAAGAATATAGTGAAGCATCTGAAACAACCTGAATGCCTAATAATGAATAGATTATCTGTTAAAATAAATTATGGCACATGAATTTAGCAGCATATTATATAATTATAATGTGAAAATTATGAAGTTCTACAGAAACATAAAAATGCTACAATGTAGGAAAAGGAAGCAGAATAAAAAATTCTATCATTCTGTGTTACACGTATGAAAAATTATGGAAATGTTCATAGAAAAAGAGAAACTAGCTTATTCATTGAGATGGCACAATTATTAAATTTCTTCTCTAAAATGTTTCCATTGATGGGTCTCCTGATACAGTGCACTGAGGTTACATCACTTATGTCAGTACCCTTGCTAGAAATGAATAAACTGAATCTAGTCATGAGAAAACATCAGACACACTCAAAATGAGGGCCAGGATACAGAACAGCTGAGCTATACTCTTCAAAAATACCAAAGCCATGAAAGACAAAGTGGGAAAGAAGCCCTGTTCTAGATTACAGAGACTAAAGGGACATTAAAAACCATGTGATCCTAAACCAGAGAAAAAACTGTAACTGACTCTACTAGGACTGGTATACATTGGCTAAGTTCAAAGAAAACTCATTTCTTAACAGAAATGATTGAACTTTTAGCTCACACTCACTTATAACAAAACATTTATGTAGAAAATAATTAATGATCAGATATTTTGTCATAAAAATTCAGTATTTAAGTATAATTTGTAGATAGTGGTATAATGGTAAAGTTTTAAATTTCAGTATTTTTAACTACTTTATTATAAAATTGTAATTTTATTCTAAGATTTTATTATATTTTTCCTTTGGCCTTTCTGACTTTTTATAGTCAAAATTTCCTGAAATAAGTTACTCTATGTTGCTTTATATTTTTCAGAAAGTTTAATAATCTTTATAGCCCTTGTCAATATTCCAGGAAAAAATAGAATAGTAGTAGTCTAACAATGGCAAATAATTGGTCAGATTATTGCTTTTTCTTGGCTTAGTGATACTAAATTTGTAGCATATTAAACTTTCAATGGCAACAAGGATGTTCTTCTTTTGAATAAAATGACCAGAATTTATTAACATTTTCATGTTACTTGATGAGAATGATCTAGTTGCAGTTGAGCTAAAAACAAAAAACAGCAGCAACAACAGGAATAAAAGCAAAGGAAATATATTCATGTTATTATTATTATTATTTCAGTGTTACATGAGGGCAAAAGAGAAAAAGACTCATTATATTGTAACTCTTTTCTTGGATTGAAATTTTCTGTATACATTGGGCTTGGGATCCAATTTATTCATCTAAATTATTCTTTGTCTTCTAGTCAGTAATGTAGCTGCCATTTTCATTTTGTGTATGAAAACTGACTCTATTTTACTTACCCTAACAGCAAATTTAATGGGTTAGAATTAGATTTTAACGAAGATGTCACTCTGCTCTGGTAGATTATTTTCAGATCAATGGTAACAAAGAAAAATCCTACCACAGTACTTTACCTTAAGGTTATTTAATGTTTTGTTTTGTTCTTTTGGATTAACTGTGATTGCAGAAAAGTCTTTATAGCCCAGAATGACAATTGTTACAGCTGTGATTGATTCGACAAGTTTAAAACTGCACCCTGTTCTCATTCAGATCATCTTGAGACCACCAACTCAGATTTGTTGTTCAGAGTTAAGAGCTGGCCATGGTATACAGTGGAAATAATTTGATCACCACAGGAATTCAGCTTCTGATTGGGCCCTTGCTGTGTTCTAATCAGCCAAACTAATGAACTATATACACCGTATGTTTATCTACTAGGAAGCCTTGGATTTTTCCAGAGCCAGTGGTAATCAAGTTTGCCACTATTGTTCATATTTGATCATAAGAAAATCAAGTCTATTTATGCCCATATTAAAAAAAAAATCACTGATTCCATGTATATATATGCCTGTCATTTACTTGCTTAATGTAAATGGACCCCACAGAGTTATACAATATTAACCTCCTTCAACACATAGTGTGAAATGCAAAACTTTCCCTGGAATCCTTTCTCTCTTTGATGACATTTTCTTACACCTAAACTTGCATTTGTTCATGGTGGCATGAAGAAATTTATTACAGCTAATATTTATACATAATTCTGTAAAAACATACAAATTATTACTAGTTTTCTGGCTTGAGAGTATTCGACTTTCCCTGGTGGCTCAAAAGGTAAAGAATCTGAATACAGTGCAGGAGGCCCGGGTTCGATTCCCTCGGTCGGGAAGATCCCCTAGAGAAGGGAATGGCTACCCATTCCAGTATTCTTGCCTGGAGAATTCCAAGGACAGAGGCGCCTGGTGGGTTAAAGTCCACAAAAAGTCACACATGACTGAGCGACTGAAAACAACAACAAACTCAACAACTCTTGGTTAAGAAGCTATTTTGTGCCAGGCATCGTGTCATACACTAGAAGGCAGGGAATGTGGAGATGGACAAAGGGGAGGATTGCGGAGGAAAGGAGAATAACTTCATACTCGACATATATACTCTATCGATTTATCTTGTAGATAGAGTTATAGATGTGGTAAAGCTATCACCCTCAGAAGACAACAAATAGATATAAACATATATTTCTTGGTTTTATCAGTTAAGCTTTTCCTTCTCTCTTGGTTCACACAGACCACTCTGAGATGGATTGAAACTGTGAGAAAGTACCAACTAATCCCTCCCCAACCGTAAGTACCACAAGAAACTCTAGCCCATGGACTTAACTTATGTATATTTTTCCAGAGGACTAGAATTAGAAAGGATAGGAAATTGTGGGTTAAATGAGGCTAGAAATAGAAGGTAGAGTAGATTTCAACGTAGGAAGTGAGGTTTTTACATTAAGATCTTGGAAGAGACTCTTATAGACAAAGCAGACAACATCCTTGCTCTGGAAGATTTTACATTTGAGGTTTAATATTACAATCTGACTTTGCCATGAGACAGGGAGTGGCTTTTGCAAATTGTTAGATATTCAGTAATACAATGGAAAATAACAGAAAGCTTTTGCAAAGTGAGAGGGTGACCATTGTAAAAGATGCAATATTTTGTGCAGTCAGTAAAAGTGATATGCAAGAACTGAGCACATCACAACAGACTCAACGACAAATGAAAGCCCATCTGCCTGGACCAGCTAATAACTGAAGAAAAGGGAAGGAAACAAAGTTGATGAGTAATGGGTAAGTAAAGCAGAATGACTTAATCATCAAATAATTTTAAAAGATCATGGGAAAAAACTGATAAAAACTAAGAATTCTTTTAAAAAATAATAAATGGTTTAATTTTGCTTTTAAATAAAAAATGAAGTATGAAATCCTGTATCTCTATAACATAATGAGAAAAAATAAAAGCCCAGTTCATCTAACTAACATTTGATTAATTTGATTCTTAGAACTAACATATTATAGTCTTATTTTTATTAAAAGTAAAATTAACTTATTTTATAATTTACAACTTTTTGACTTTTCATGAGAAAGTCTTAGTAAAACCATTCCCCAGCCCACTCCTCAGTAGTTACTGTTACATCAGACTCTGTTAAATGGATTTAAGTGGCTTTTATCTAATACCAGTGATCAAGAGCCTTCTTTGCATGAACAGCCCTCTCTGCCTTCTAATTTTGAGGTCCACCTAAGATAGAATTAACTTCACTTTCATTTTGGATAAGCAATTTGCAGAGTTACCTACATTTCCTATTATCATATTCATTTCACTGGATCCTAAGAATATCTTTTTATTTATGCTGCCTCTTTTGTAATTTATGCACAAAATTATTAGATAAAGTTAAACCTTTAGTATAAACATACTACTAATAGAACACTAGGACTAGAATAAAACATTTTTTTACATAAAAAGCTATGTTTACTGGAAACTTTCATATGTTAGATACATTTTTTTTAGATTTAAGGAATAAGAAAGAAGACCCACTACCATTCCAATTGCCCAGCATTTATTCCCTCAATAGATACCTGTCACCACTATCCTCCCAGCACTCTCTTAGATGCTGAGGATTCCACTGGAACGAAAACAGACAACACAATGCAATCCTCACAGAACTTACATTCTAACAGAAATGTAGAAATGTAAGTAGAAAATCAAATAATTGTCTATATTTGATTCTAACGGTAGATAGAGTGTGTGTGTGTGCTTACTCACTCAGTTTATCTGACTCTCTGTGAGTCGATGGACTATAGCCCTCCAGGCTCCTCTGTCCATGGGATCTCCCAGGTGAGAATACTGGAGTGGGTTGCCATTTTCTCCTCCAGGGGATCTTCCCGACCCAGGGATCAAACCTGTTTCTCCTGCACTGGCAGGTAGATATTTTACCACTGCTCCACCTGGGAAGTCCAAGCAATAGTATTATGGAGAAAACACAAGAATGGAGTAAAAGAGTATTGGGTGGGAGTCACAGGCTTAAATAAATGGATAAAAAAGGTAATATTTGAACTAGGAGTTGAAATAGGTAAGGTGATGCTGGAGATTCTGGCCAATGCAAAAAATAACTTTTCAAAAGTGACCGAGAGAGATAAGGGTAGAAGTGAAGAGGTATAAACTCTCGTCAGAAGATGCTCTGGTCACTTACATAGAAAATCGACACAAAATAATTCATGTTAATAAGAATTCAGCAAATTTCCAAGGATTAAAGCAAGCTAAAAATCTTTTAACACCTCTTTACATCAGTTAAAAACAAGTTAAAACACAATAGAAAATTACACAGCATTCATGTGAATATCTTGAATTGAACAGAGAATGCATAAGACTTATATGCACACATACATGCTTTAAAAGCTCTACTAAAGCACTTTAAAGACCTAAATCAGTGGAAAGCAGCACTGTTTTGTGTCAGTTCTCTCCAAATTAATGTAGATATTGATTATTCAATATTGCTAAAAAATTCTAACAAGATTTTACTGTGGAATTTGAAAAACTGATCCTAAAAATTATATTGAAGATCAATGGCTCACAATTAGGAAAGGCAATTTTAATAAAAGAAACCCAAGCTATCATTTTAGGCTTCCCTGGTGGCTCAGAGGTAAAGAATCTGCCTGCGGTGCAGTGAGACATGGGTTTGATTCCCTGAGGGAAGATCCCCAGAGAAGGAAATGGCAACCCACTTCAACATTCTTGCCTGGGAAATCCCATGGACAGAAGGAGTCTGGTGGGCTCACTTCCATGGGGTTGCAAAGAGTTGGACACAATGTAATGACTAAATAACAACAATAAAGCTATTAAGATATCACAAAAGTATATTAATTAAAAGAATATGGCATGAGCATGGAAATAGATAAAGAAACCCATTGAATTAAGAATAGATTTGTTCAGCAAATCCTTATATATGTGAGAATTTGGTATACACTTCAGCTGGCATGAAAACTCAGCGGTAAAGGAAAGAATATTTGTTAAATCACATTAGAAAAACTGACTACATAGAGAAAAATGACTTTGAGCCTACCTCAAAGCGTATTACAAAATAAACTCCAAATGGTCTATAGAGCTAAATTTGAAGAGCAAATTTATAGTTTTAATGAGAGATATGACTCTCTATCAGTTTTTATAAAAAGATTTCTAAAAATCATCAGTCAACTAATTTCAAAAGCATCCAAGCTCTGAATTGAAGCTCTCTCTGTTTTTCTACCTCTTCTTGATAACGTTTACATCCAGGAGGAGGTTAGATTTTCTAAGAGAGGGTGTCCAACTCTGTAAAAATAGGGAGAGTTGGTTTAGAAGAGGCCATTAGATCTGGTATCCAGGAACTTGTCTGAAACTTTAGCCAGCTGGGGACATAGCCTTACAGGGAGGCCGGCTCAGTGTTCCGTGATGACCTAGATGGGTGGGATGGGGGTAAAGTTGGGAAGGAGATTCAGGAGGGAGGCGATGTATGTATACATATAGCTGATACATTTCATTGCACAGCATAAACTAACACAACATTGCAAAGCAATTATACTCCAAATAAAAGGAACCCAAATTTTGGATGTTCTGTAGGTGGGCTCAGCTTGACTAAGTATCTGGCAACAAACAAGCATTACTCAGCAAGCCATTGAGAAATACACAACTGTTGAGCTTATTTTTGTTTTATTTAGAGATGCAGACGAGCTCCTGCAGCCAAAGTAAAACTTGGATCCACTTTGGATTTTGGTCTCTGAGTTTAGATTCACTCTTTTGTTTTTATAAAAGGTTTGACGGTACTTTTGACAATCACTGGTTTTCCCCAGCGTCCTAACTAACATTATCTCCCTTCACAAAATAGGCTCTCAGAGCCAGGCTGTGGTAAATAATTCCTGAAAACACAATATTCATGCCACTCTTGCCTCCTCGATTACTGCAATGTTATCTTTTAAACATTCTAGAGGGAAGGCTCTACAAACCCAAGATATCTGGTTCTATAAGAGAAGGGATCATAAAGAAAAGGGTTTCATAAAACCATTGTTATTTATTTTGCCAAGGGAATTGATTGTATTCCTTTCTGTTCACGTAATTCATTCTTAATGGTAAGAGCTTTATTGTAGTAAGTGTTTTTCAAGTCTTTGGAATTTAGGAGTAAGTACACAAAATAATCCATCCAGTGCTCCAAATCATGGGTCAGAGGGTAGGAAGCATTCTGTATGTATGTCACCCTGTAGAGAGAAAACTGCTGTTAATTTACATAAGGAGAATAGAGTTTATCTCTAGCAAAAGAGGATTTTCTCATTGCATGACTGCTTTTGGGAACAGAATTGGAAGGCAGAAGAAGAAAAGGTTTCTTCTGAACATGTGAGAAGTAAATTTATTTTCAGAAGGAAAAATAGACTCTCTTTAAAAGTAGTTGAGTCTCATGCAACTAGAGGTATTTAAGCAGGGGATGGGTAATCAGAAAAGAATAGGAAAACTGTAAAAGCTTTCAGAGGGCCCAACTGCCTTCCCAAAGCATCAGTGGATTGGGGTGAGCTTCAGTTTAAGCAGACAGCTTTGGGCGGCAGGGGAGTGGGGGTCACGTGGACGCTTCCACATTCTCCTTGGCTCCATGGGACCCTGTCAAGGTGGAGAACTAGAAGGAACAACATAAGAAATGAGAGCACAACCATGAAGGGGCGCAATACAGGTATGGGAAACTTCCGTTGTTCCCCTCCACGAGAAACCTGTGTGACTGTGTTCATGCCATTCGTCCTGGTTTGAGTCCCTCTCCTCCGACCCCATCTCCACCCGTGAAAATTCAACCAGGGTTCCTGTCCCAAATCAAATGGAACTTCCCCATAAAATAACTCCCTGATTCAGAAAACAAAATTAATATAATAATTTTCTGATTCAGGCTTCCCATAGATCTTTTCATTTATTCAGTTTTAGCACTTAACAGGGACTTCTCTTGCAGCCTTTCGCTTATTCTAAAACTACCTTTTCTCATCGACTGAAGTTTAAATTTTTGAAGACAGAGAATGTGTCTAGTAGATCCTTACACCTCAAATGTGTAATGACACCTCGATGTGTAACTCTCTACCTTGTAGCCAGTGCATTTCAATAGACGGATACTAAATGAATGGGAGAATGAATGGAACATTCTGAAGAGAAGGAAAATGTCCAAGTGGCTTCCGGGTAGCAGGGTGCTTCTGTCTCCCTTTCCTTTGATCAAACTTCTTTCTTTTATTTCAGACTTTGGGCTGGAAAATGACAGGATCAAGGAAACAGTAGGGACACAAAGTTGGGAGGTTTGTTGAAAGCATGTGCAACTCCATGAAATAACAGTTTCAGAGATCAAGGTGAAACATTTTCCCCCTTCAGGTAAGGAAGAAACTGTGTGTGAGCAGAATTAGAAAGAGGCAAAAGACCAAGTGAAATATCATCACTCATCATAAATGGTACTAAAATAGAACCACTGAGAAGATTATTGAGACAATGACTTTCTTTCCAAAAGGGTAAACCCTGTCAACAGGAGGAGGTAAAAACCGCAGTCAACAGCACTGAGCGAAAAGTAGGAAGATTTCAGGCAACTTAAAAAGAAAAAAAAGTCTTTAAAGATATTAGTGACTCTTTTCCACAATTCCATGAAGGTTCTGCCCATCAGGAAAATATTCCGCTGTATTCCATAGCAATATATCTTATTTTTTTAATATGCAGCAACACCAGCCAACTGGTGAGGTAGACACACTGAACAGCTACCTTGGCACTCGGGTCTTAATATCCATTCAGAGGGTTAACTTTCAGCAAAGCCAAAAAGATGACAGCCAGATAAAACAGTCAGTCCTCAGGGTGGAAAATCATGTTGCCAGCGCCAGACCAGCCAAAATATAATTTCTCCTGTGTCTTCTCTCCAGGAAGTACTTCTGAAAAACACCTTTCCAGCACAATAGTCATGGAATCCAATTATATATTTTTAGACACCACTAACCATTCTTTTTTTTATTTCTTCCATTTCAAGAAAACTCTCCACATCTGGAAAGAACAGCAACGAAGAACAGGAACTGGCGCGTTCATGCGCAGCTCCTACCGGGCATGTTTCATTTAATTTCCTCCGTTTTTATGATATTTTCCTATGCTGCTACTCCAGACGTTCAATAAAACACCTCGCCGCCGAGAAACCATAGGGGAAGGAAAACCTAAAGAAAATCTGATGGAAGATCTGAGAGTGAGATGACCTCAGCCACGAGCACAGGCCTCAGGAGCGTCTGTTCCGGCTTCTAAGCACCGCTTCCCCGGGGTCTCTCCTTGGTCTGTGCGCATCAACGCTGCCTCCGTGTGCACTCTGATCCGCCGCCAGACGAACGGGCATGCTGTCCTTCTGAGCTTGTTTTCTGTAGCCTGTCTTCCTTGCAGTGTCAGGCTGTATTGTCTATTCAGTTTTCCAAACTTCAGCCATCCAGTCCACGATCAGTTTTTTCCCCAGGGCAGTTGAGAAGTCATTTCTATCTTTTTTGTTTTTTAAGAAGCAAGAACCAGCTATGAATACAATCTAGAGCAACAATATGGTCTAGCGTAGACAGGGAAGAAACAGATAAGAGATAAAGAGGTCAAAACACCAGCCATGACCTCAGCTGGAAGCATGATGGAGAAGCAGGGCAAACGTAGTGCCTAGGAAAAGCCATCTGTTTAGAAAAAGATGTCAGGTAGGTAAAGAACACTTGGCACCTAGTCTCTCTTCATTGAGGGGAAAAAACCAAGCCTGGCTTTTGCTTATTTACAATATGTGAATGAGTTTTAGATCCTTGTCGAATAGGTTGGGAGAGTCCATGAGGGTGCTAGGTGTCCACAACGTGTGAGACAGAAAGGCACAAAATGGGGAGTGTTGACCTTAGGCTGCCGATCACTTCAACAAAAACAAAAATGGGTTTAATTAGAAGCAGCAAGGAATTGCCATGGCGAGCCACTCACAAGTCTACTCATAGCAAGCAGAGAAGAATGCTTTTAAAGAGGGGGGAAGGAAGCTGAGAGATCTGTACTAAACAGAGAGTCTACTGGAGGAATTGATAGTTCTAAGTATAATGGTTTTTCACCAGCTGAGCGGCCACAGTCTCATTGGCTGAGCTCTTGCCAGGCATGAAGAGGAAGTCTTTCTTCTTCCTGTTGAGATCTGCAATCTTTTAGGCCAGAGAGCACCCCCTTCTGGCTTCCTGACTCTATTTTAATTAAGATGGCTTTTAAAATATATCTGTGTTATGGTGAGTGAGGGCTCCTCCTTAGTTGGGGCGCGCAGGCTTCTCATTGCTGCAGCTTCTCTTTGCAGAGAAGCTTCTCTTTGCAGGCTCGGGGCGCGCAGGCTTCAGTAGCTGTGGAGCTGGCTCAGCAGTGTGGGCTTCGAGACTTGGAGCACAGGCTCAACAGCTGTGGCGCCCGAGCTTAGCTGCTCCGCAGCATGTGGTATCTTCCTGGATCAGGAATTGAACCTCTGTCTCCTGCATTGGCAGGGGGATTCTTTACCACCCAGCCACCAGGAAAGCCCAAGATGTCTTTTCATTAATATTTACAAGAGGTTAAGAACTCTAAAGCCCAATTGTGATAATTCTCTAAAGTTTTCTGAGGACAACTCTTTTAAATAGAGTTTTAAATAGCCTAAATTAACTTTTTCCTTCACTACTCTTTCTCCCTGCCAGTTAAAAGAGAATTTCTTGTCATATCTCTATTGGGAATAAATAAATTCCTTGGCTTTTTTTCTTATTCATCAAATACTTATTACCTGTATTCAATCAGTACAAGTCCTATGTTAGACACTGAGATCAGAATGGCTGTATTTTTAAAGTTTTTTTATGGAAATAGCATTTAACATGAGATCCACAATCTCAAGTGTACAATATATTATCATTGACTATAGGTACAATATTGTACATCAGGCATTTAGAGATTATTCATAGATACTTCATATAAATGGAATCAAGCCATATCTGTCTTCTGTAGTTGGCTTTTTTCACTTAGTATCTCCTTCAGGTTTGTTCACATGATTGAGTATTGCAGAATTCATGTCTTTTTAAAGGCTACATAGTATTCCATTTGATGCACATACCACAGTTTCTTTATACATTTATCTGTTAATGGAGTTTTAATTTGTTTCCACAACCGGGCTATTGTGAATGCTGCTGCAATGAACATAGGAGTGCTAAAACCTTTTTGGATCCTGATTGCAATTTTTGGGGGTAAATCCCAGACGTGGAATTGCTGGATCTCAAGGTAATTCTGCTTTTATTTGTTTATTTTTAATTGCATAAAGTGGACAATATGATGTTTTCTTTCAGGAATTTTATGGTTTCAGGCCTTGTGTTTAAGTCTTTAATCAGTTTAGTTGACTTTTATGTATAGTGTAAGACAGGGGCCTATAAACAAACCCCTGACTAATTATTCCCTTCCTTCTTTCTGTAAATCTTTTCCCCCTTTACTTCCTCATTTTCTCCATTCCTCTCCTCCTAATTTGATCAAGACACTGTTAGGTAAAGATGTGAAAAAAGTGTCATCCATACAGTGTTACGGGCAGTACCTAAGGTGGGGGGCTTTTAGAATCTGAGTGAGGTGCGAGAGTTTCTGGGGGCTGGGGTGCGTGGGGGTAGGCGGCAGCCTGGCCTGGTTACTCCAGGATGAGACAGTTGAGGACTGAAGACTGAGTGGGGTGAGGATGACATCCATGTAGAAGAATGAAGCGGTAGCAACTGGTGTACGGTAGTCAGAAACCAAGCAACCTGGGAAGTTTGTCTGCCACAGCGGTGAGGAGATGGGGAGGATAAAGAGGAGGGTGACGGTGGCTCTGATGTGAGTTGAGTACTTAAGCAGGTAAATAATCAAACAGTTATTTATCTTGAGAAAAGTTGAGTCTAATTTATTGCTGTTGGGAAAGAGAGTTACAGCATGGAAAAAAGAGAAAATGAGAATAAACCCTGGAGTGTTGGGTTAAATATGGAAATATTAATGTGAATTTAATTTTCAATAGATTAGAAGGAAAAAATGAAGGAAGGAACAAAGGAAGGAAGGGAGAAAGGGAGATGTGGGGATAAATGATGTAATTCTATATTGTATAGTTCTTCTATACCCTAGGTCTGTCTGAGAGAGCTTGGGAGCAGAGATACCCCAATAGCAATAAGCATACTGTTCACTCAGATCTTCCTTTGTAGATATCATTCTCCACTAAAAGGAACTACAGCTCCTTGGAGGAATTTCTGATTCCTGGGCTGGGAAAGGGAAAAAACAGGTGAGTCAGAAAAAGCTTGATGTGCCAGAAAATAAAGAAATGTTCGTTCCCTTAGTGATGGAACCATGTCAAAAGGATACACAAACTACATTGAGATCCCCACTAGTCAAATCTGGAACAACCTGAGCATTAAAATAAGAAATACTAGCAATATATTAGAATCAACTGAATAAAATGGAAATCTACAAGTTCATGCAGACATGAATACATGAATAAATAAATGAATAAATGGAAGAGTTGAAAGATTTTCATAACAGAGGAATGCCAAGTAATAGAGAACTATAGAATAAAATAATCACTTGTCAATCATCAGAGTAATAAGTAACTCAGCCAAAAACACCAATGCATGTAAAACATTTTGGTGAGAGTTAAATGATGTACAAAATATTACTATAGATTCAAAGCTCTTCTGCACAAAATACTTATCAATTACAAAGGCAAATGAGAATCTTTACAACTGGGGAAACTGAAAGAAAATACCTTTTGTCAAGCCCTTACGTTTAATATCCCCAGTAATGGCATGCATTGAACTTACTTATAAGTTGACAGAATGCAATGAGAATAATTCAGTATTACTTTTCTGATACTTCTACCCAAAATACGTAATTTGAATCTAGTCATGAAGAAAAATCACACAAGCTCAAATTGAGGGACATTCTATAAAATAACTACAGTTTCTAAAAGTGTCAAGTCATGTAAGTCAAGATGGAAGAACAGATCCAGTGTGAACTGAACTTAATAGATATGCCAACTAAACAGAACTGGATCCTTTCCTAGAAAGGATATTATTGGAAAATGGTGAAATGTGAGTCAAGTCTGGAGATTAGATGGTAATAATGTATCCATGTTAAATTCCTGATTTTGATGGTAATTCTGTATATGTGAAACTGTCCTTGTTTGTTGGAAATTCATACTTAATATATTTGGGGTACCAGGTTGGCAACTTAAAATTATTTAGGAAAAAGAAAAAATGTTCCTGCTATTATTCTTTTAGTTTTTTTTAAGTTTAAAGTTACTTTAAAATAAAAATTTAAACACGTATATATACTACCTACACATAGTAGTACAGATAAACTGGGGAGATCTACATAAGACCTGAATGTAGATCCTATCAATGTTATATCCTGGCTGTGATATTGTACTATAGCTTTGAAAAATGCTTCTACTGAGGAAAACTGATTTAAAAGTAAGAAGAAATTTCTGTATCATATTTTTACAACTCCATGTGAATCCCCTACTATCTCAAATTTTTGTAATTATAAAAAAGCTTCAGCAAGGTAGAGTAAGGAAAATAATATTTACTGAGCATAATCTCTCATTAATCTTTTTTTATCTTTATGTTTTATTGACTTTACAATATTATATTAGTTTTAGGTATACAACATACAATATCTTTACCAGTTATATTCCACTTAAAAGTATTGTAAAATACTGACTATATTCCATGGGCTATTCATTACATCTCTGTATCTTATTTATTTTCTTAAGATTTTTTTTTTAATTTAAAACAATTTTTTATTGTAGTTGATTTACAATGTTGTATTGGTTTCTGCTATACAGTAAGGTGAATCAGTTATACATATACATATATTCACTCTCTTTAAGATCCTTTTTCCATATAGGTCATTACAGAGAGTATTGAGTAGAGTTTCCTGTACTATGCAGGTCTTTACTAGTTATCTATTTTATATTCAGTTATTGAATCTTTATAATGGCCTATGACAGTGATATTATGCTTACTATTCAGATCAAGGAAGCCAGGTTTAAGTAATGTTAAAAATTTGACTGTGAGTAAACAAAAGAAATGGGGATTGGATTAGAATTTTGTCTTGTTTTACATCTAGAAAAAAAATATTACTAGGAAAAAATCCAGAAAAAAGATTCTAAATGCACCGTATCACTGTTACTGTTGGAAACTTGTTAGTAAATGCATACTTTTGTCAAATATAGAGTTAAAATATAAAAATTAATACCCACTAAATTTTATAGTCAGGCCATGGAGTAAACACTTGATTTTTATGATTCCACAAAACTCAAAATTCATTATAAATCTACAAATAATATTTTCACAATTCAGCTACAAAGAGCATCCTAAGATCCTAAATGGAGCCTAAAGTGCATGAGAAATGTCTGGTATTTTTGTGCTTGACATTACAGTTTATAAACCAGACAGCTAATAGTAAATATGAGAGTACTCAAGAGCAGTATGAGAATACAGGAATTGAAATGAGATGTGGGAGTAAAAGTACTTGTTATCTAAGTAGGAGATTCTCGTCTTTAAAATTAGCACAGGTTTAGTGTTGGATGTATGCAATATGCTTTCTGAGGGAAGATTGATTCTTCTATAGAAGATGGAGCATAGCAAGGTGAATTAAATTGTTGCCAACACTAAAATCCAGGTACAACCCTTTAAAAATATCACTTTTTGGTAGAAACATTGTAAAAGAAGAATGGCTGTAAAATGGGGAAGTATTTCATATCAATATGTGGAAGCAAATTGGGAGGCCAATTACTGATAGTGTGGCAGTAATAAACAGTATTAAAAATACTAATTCGAAGGAGTAGATCTTTTTCCTATCACAGTGAGCACATTTTTGACTTTCTCTCTGGCCCCAACAATGAAAAAAATAGATTGTGACATCTGAGTTCATCTAGGAAAGTTCAAGCATTTAACTAACTTTCTCCTCCAACCTAATATAGAGCTTAGAATATTCTCCACTGAAAGAATGCGTCAAAGATGAGGAATCAGATTCATAAAAGCCTCTATTAGGTGTGTGCGTGTGTGTCAGTCGCTCAGTCGGGTCTGACTCTGTGCGACCCCATAGACTGTAGCCCACCAGGCTCCTCTGTCCATGGGATTCTCCAGGCAAGAGTACTCCTGGGCTGCCATTTCCTTCTCCTCTATTAGATGGGTTTCCCAACATTTTCTAAAGTTAAAAGCTGGCAAAACTGATCTCGCTGAAAATTTGTAAAGATTTTGGATATATTTACACTAATATTTTTAAAATATTTTTATTTTGTGGGCCACAATGCAAGGATTTAAGAATTTTTTATCTTCTGGACATTATACTTCAAATGTCCATATTTATCCACCTGGTGTGTGGAGATAACTAAGTCCTCATATTAACCTCTAGACTTCCTATAAGGGTGATTAACTGAGAGATTTAAACCAAAGTCCCTTTTCCACTTTTAAAACATGAAGAGTGCTTAACAGAACTATACTTAGTGTCTGTGAGAATTACTATCTACTGCTTTTAAATACTGTGAATTTAAATGAATAATATATAATTTAGGTCAGAATTTTTTTTACAAAGTTAAGTGTATTAAATACATTTCCCTCTAATCTTCAATTATTATTCATGCTGATTTTTTTTTTTCTCATTCTTGAGTAAAACTAGCTCATTCCAAGTCTTTACTGGGTCCTCCTGATTTTATGGTAGTTGTCACTGGACTCTCAGCTGGGAATTAAAACACTTTATTCAAGTATCAAAAATTTTATAGCCTTTTTCTCTATCTTCTATAGACCTCCACTTCCCTTATTATCCCTCTATTAAGAAAGACATAATTAATTTCCTCTTAGAAACAATCAATGAGAAGTTATAACTTACCTTTCAAGTTCCAAGCTTCCCTGTTCTTGTCCACTTCCTTATGTTCCAACAAAAATTATGTAGTTGTGTGATATAATAGTTTGGGGAAAATGATAATCTTTTAAACTTTTTCATATAAATGCTATTTACAGATGTTCTTTACATTTGTTCTCTAAGTGCCCTTCCCAAGCAGATAATTCATAAATTGTGTGTATCTCCTCTTGCTACTCAAGTTGAAAAAAATTTTTCAGATAACTTGGGAGTATGTTAAGCAACTTTGTAAGTCTTTTTAAACAATTTTTTTTAAGGGGGGAAGTAACAAACTTAAAAGAAAAAAATTAGAGATGCTGTGAGGCCAGCATAGACATTCTTAAGCAAATATTTGGAAAATAATCTTCAGATTGGCAAACACTAGCGATGTTTTTTCTCCCCAGATCTATCTTCACTTGATTCGCTGGCCCTGTCGTTAGAATTTGCCGAGCCTCCCCCTTTGAGGGGACCTTTGAACTTGCTCTTTTGGTACCTGGAATGATCTTCTCTCAAGTTTGCATGTGGCTCTCTGCATCTTGTTACTTGGTTCTCTTATAAAAATATCCTCGGAGGGTCCTTTCCTGACCACCCTAACACAGGTAACTGCATTCTTAGAAATTACTAATTATGGTTTCTTTACGAACTTCAGCTCCTAGAGCATTGTAAACAACTGCAAAACATCATTTGGTCCTAGTCCTTTATCTTAACATAGGATTTTTCTGCACTTTCTCCTGTCTTTAACGACTATGAATTTTTATGAATTTTTTCCTCTGACAATTAAAATCAGATCCTTTATGCTACTAGAGCAGGCATTGTTTGAGCTTTTGGAACTGAGATAAGAGTAAAGAAGAGAGAGGATACAGGCACTGTCAAATGGGCACATGTACTAAGTACCAACATTGTCCTATGTGCCAGGAATATGGCCGTAAACAAGACAGGTATTTTTAGGGGAAACATGAACTTAAGGACAACTTTCATATGACAGGATGTTGCAAATGAAATAAGGGCAAACATAAAGATATGCTTCTGAGGAGTCATAGCAGACAGCAGTTACCAGGAAAGTAAGAGATACAGGGAGTTTACAAAGTAGGCCCAGATGAGAGTTCTCAAGGGGAGCCTTATACAATGGTAGGTTTCTTTCGAAAATATGTGCAAAAATCTTGCTGCCGCTGTCGCAGCACTTGAACCTAACATCTAATATATTTACAGGGCTATTCCCATCCCGATGCTGCCAGAGTGGGTTCTGGTCCCCTTTGGCGTGGGAGTGATAAAAGGACGCCATAAGGTATGCAGAGATTTGTAGATTTCTAAGATTTTCTCTCCAGAACAACGCAATTTCCTAAACACTGCAGCTAGTCATGTTCCAGCAAGACTTCAGTATTGCTCAGATGACAGATTTGTGTTCCATTCTCAAGTGAGATGCTGAGTGTGATGTGGTTAGGCTGAAAGGGATTAATGCAAAATAGGATATGGGCTGATTATAGAGCTGAGAGAAATTTGAGTTGGAATGTAGTTGGTGATTGTTGTGCAAATTTCTGTTACATGGTTGAAGCAAAAAACGATGGCAAGGGAGCCAGACTTGCCCCTTGGTATTAGAGTGATCCCTGGGAATTTGTCATCAAGTGGAGGATGGTTTTTAATTCTAATTTTACCTGTGTGAGAGTGGTCAGGACACGTTATTCTGCTCTTGACCAGGTGATGATATTTATAAGCCATGTCTACACATGATCCAGTCTCTGAGAATCACGTTAAAAGGAGACACTAATCTCACTCCAGAAGCTCTGCGGCATCATTTTTGCTTTTCACCTTCTTAACAAGTCCAGCCAGGCCATTTCACTCTGTCCATGACACAGGAGGTTTTACCACAAATGCTTTCAAATAGAATCTCCTCTTTCAATATTATACATTCATGAAAACCACACATCACAAAAGTAAAAATGTCCTGTTCCTTCATGCCACTTTGCTCCTGTGTTTCACTTGTTCCTTCCTACCTCGTAAGCCTCACCCAACACGCTCTCATGCACCGCGTCCACCACACCTCCCTCTCCAGACCCTCTGCCCCGGGACACTTCACCATTCCCTCGCTCTTGGAACAGCCACTGGGAAAGTGTAGCCTCACAGGCAGCCTGCTGTTTGGATTGGAGCTACAGAGAAGTCAAGAGATGGCCTTTCAAACAAGAATCTTTGGAATTCAGGAGAGAAAGGCTGTGAATACTGGCATAGCGATAATTATTTTCTCTACTGCATTGTTATTACGGCAGTAACATTGTGCAGACAGCTTTGGGAACTGGAAGATGAAGCCAGAAGGTGGGGGGAGAAGAGTGTTCTTGGTATGCGTGGAAAGCGTGTGCTACTGTAAAATGCTCCAGGGAGTGACAGAGTAGCCTGGTTGATTTGTTCGTTGGTTATACAGCACCACATGTTTTATTCAGGAGTTCACTTAAAATATTTAGTCTTCATCTTTTTTTGCTTAAAGGGTCTTTAAAACATTTATTTATGGCTGCACCAGGTCTTTGTTGCTGCACGCGGGCCTTCTCTAGTTGCGGCGAGCGGGGCTCCTCTTCACGGTGGTGCCTGGCTTCACGCTGCAGGGCCTTCCCGTTGCAGGCACCGGCTCGAGCTGCACAGGTTTCAGTAGCTGCAGCCCATGGGCGTTAGTAGTGCTGACGCACAGGCTTAGTGAGGCGTGAGGGATCTTCCGGGGCCAGGGATCAAACCTGTGTCCCCTGCACTGGCAGGCAGAGTCTCATCTGCTGGACCACCAGGGAAGCCCTGGTCTTTATCTTACAAGGAGAGATAACAACATGAGCATGAAATTTCATTTGAAAAAGGACAGAAGGGAACATCCTAAAATGAGGTGGGTTAGATATTCTGTGGTTAAAAAGCCATAACTCAAGAGTATTTCTGAAGGTCTGGTATGAAGAAGGTCCTCTTTCAAATGACATTTATATTCACAGGAAGAATCTCATGGTCTGGGGGTAGAAATTGATCAATGATGAAATCTGAGGATAAAGATGATCAGAGACAGAGAGATGCAGAGATAGAGAAAAGAACTAAGCATGGGAAAAAATGGCTTCGAGATTCCTAATTCTGTTCCCATAGCAACATATAATTTGGTCATTAAAAAATAATAATAAAAAATAAGCTCAGAAAAAGCAGTGTGGACAAATGCAATTTTATAGAACATAATTTCGCTGAAAGCAATTTAGTTAAAAGCAAGTTGGTCAGCAGGTCATTTTGGCTGAAATGATGATGGGCTTTAAATGAGAATTCCTAGACACTGCTTTTTTTTTTTTTTAGTATTAGTTATATTTCGTGCATCTTGGAACATTTTGTAGACCTTCAAATACCATTACATGTTCTTTTCCATTTATAGGTATTTTTCTACTTTTTTGTCTTTTAATATTTAATATCATTTCAGTCATGTTCTTTCATATTTAACCAATCAGTTCACCCTAGTCTCAATCTTTTTGTTTTCATATTTCAAATTCATAATAAAATTATTTCTGCACATTCTGTTTAAGCTAGGAAGATGCTGGAATAAAGTAAATATCATTTGGTAAATTGCCTGAATAAATTACTGTAGGTTACAAAATAATGGTATGATCCCAATTTTGCTAACAACTGAGATACAAATATTTAAGTAATATATAATAAACATACGTTGTATTTAGAAAGCAATTTATACAGATAATTAAAAGGTTAATAGATAGTTTGGATAGGTAAGATTATATAGCTTTGTGCTTCCTTTTATATTTTTCTATTTTAAAATGCTTAAAAACTTGTATTTTTAAAATAGAAAAATTATGTTTTTATATTTTAAAATAAAACATACATTTCTCTTTAAATATGGAAAAATAGGAAAAGAAGCCAATAATGAACCATTAATTTAAAAGGAACTGAAATTTGAAGGATAGAATTTTTCTACTTTGAAAATAACAATTTAAAGATAGTTAGGCCTATTCTGTTTATCTGAGTCTGTTATCCTTTTTGTACAAGGGGGAAAAAAATAAGCAGTTTTTTTGTTTTTTTTTAAAGTAAGCCACTTTTGTTTGTTATTTGAGTTAATCTAATGGCTCCAAAATCACTGCGAATGGTGACTGCAGCCATGAAATTAAAAGATGCTTACTCCTTGGAAGGAAAGTTATGACCAACCTAATTTCTCCATGAAAGCTGAAAGAGAGTGGGCATTATCTAAGGATGGATTAGAAATATAGGTAAAAAATAATGAAATAAGCAGATAATGCCTAATAATTGCCATTGCAAAATTAGAGAAAGATTTTGCTTAGAAAACTAACATACAGGAAAAATTCAAACTTCTAGCGACATGAAACAAAATAGCCTAAATAAATTATGGTAAGGTAAAAAACAATGCTATATAAATTCCACTGACAAAACATCAATATTTACATATGCTATAATAGACACTGCATTTTAGAAAATGATCTGTACAATATTACAAAGGTCAATAGGTGGCTGCACAATATTTAACAAAATATTTAACAGAGTTCTTATATGTGTTAATTTTTGCACAAATTGTTGAGTTAAATAGCTTATTTTCAGCTAATCTGAATCCAGCCAAATTTAAGCAGTTTTTTCCTACAAACCACATTATTGATTGTATCACATGTTAGACAGTCCTGGGATACTAGAAATTATAGCTAAAGTTTTAATCTAGAAAACAAATCTTCCACAATCTGATAGAGCTAATTGAACTGGGAAAAGACAGAGTACATGGGCATGAGAACTGACTAGAGGGACATATTGAGAAACACATAACTGAATTTAAAGGAATCTTCTGGATGTGTTCTGTAGATTGAAGGATGGCGTATCTAATTTCTAGGCCTTTCTTTCCCTTAGGGAAAATATAATGTCCAAGTATCTTTAGTACATACTTGCTCGCTTTTGTTATAGGAGGCATCTATAAGGATATTCACACCAGGATGATCTAAAACATATTCATAGATTGATGTAAATATTATAAATTTTCATCAGTAAGTGAATGGTTAGATAATATCCTAAATTATACATAAAAAACTACTCTGTGGCAGCTGAAAAAGCAATGTTTTCATATTTATATTTTCCAAATAAAACATGGAAACATTTTAAGACCTATTATTATGAAAAAATAATTTTGCATAAATATTTATGATTCCATTTATATTGAAACAAAATTATTCTAAATTATGTAACATTTTATCCATTTATGAATGAATCTGTTGTTGTTCAGTCGCTAAGTCCTGTCCAACTCTTTGCAACCCCATGGACAGCAGCACTCCAGGCTCCGCTGTCCTCCACTATCTCCTGGAGTTTGCTGAGATTCGTATCTATTGAGTTGGTGATGCTATCTAACCATCTCATCCTCTGCCACCCCTTTCTTTTGCCTTCAATCTTTCCCAGCATCACGGTCATTTCCAGTGAGTTGGCTCTTTGCATCAGGTGGCCAAAGTATTGGAGCTTCAACAACAGTCCTTCCAATGAATCCATCTATGTAAATGCATAGGAAAACATTCTAAAGTTACAAAGTACACTGCTTTTATTCCTTCTGGGGAGGGAAATGAGATTGGTAGCAACAGTGGAGGGTTTGCAATTTTACCAAATATATTTCAGTACTGTTTGCATTGATTCTAAATATATTTTTGTATTGCTAGCAGATGTAGCAAGTATAGAAGACTTGAGTAGCTCAAATAAATGGACTAAATGGAAGAGCATTAAATCTTTTAAATATTTTAAATACTTAACATCTACTTGAGTCTTCAAAGTCCTCTTCTGAAAGATATAACCTCCCTGCTACCCTACAACACACAGCACAAGGAGGAAAAGGAGAAAATAACATTTATTGAAAAATCTACAGCATGCTCAGAAATTTCTTATGCTTGCAAAGTGTTTGTTTCCCTGCTACTAGAAATTATGTCCCTAAAACTATTTAGGTTAAGGAGCCTGGCTGCCACAGCAGGAGCTGTAAGAGACGTAGGTTCAATTCCTGAGTTGGGAAGATTCTCTGGAGGAGGGTATGGCAACGCACTCCAGTATTAATGCCTGGAGAATCCCATGGACAGAGGAGCCTGGCAGGCTAGGTCCAGAGTGTTGNCCTGGATCGGGAAGATCCCCTGGAAAAGGGAATGGTTACTCACTCCAGTATTCTTGCCTGGAGAATTCCATGGACAGAGGAGCCTGGTGGGCTACAGTTCATGGGGTCACAGAGTTGGACACAACTGAGCAACTAACACTTTTCAGGCTAAATATTACCATAGTATTTCCATGTTTTAGACATGAATTGAAAAA